GGTTAATCATGTTATATTTGTTATTTATGTTACTTGTGTTATTTATGTTACTTGTGTTATTTATATTGTTTGTGTTGTTTATGTTACCCACGTTACTCGCGTTATTTAAGCTACCTTAGCTACTTTATAACTCCTTGCTACTGCTCATGTAACTATTCTTGTTACCTTCCCATGTTACCTATGTTGATCATGTTATTAACGTTACTTGTGCTTTTCATGACACTTTTAGTACTAGCAATGCTGTTTGTTAACAATGTGTCTGTTTGCCTTGATAAGTACAGTACAGCTGTTGGCAGTACAACAGAAAACGCTTTACATATCTGATTGTATTTTTATCTGAATTAATATTTTTTGTGAGAGGTATTGCGTTTTTTGTAATTTAAAAACTTTAAAATTCTCTCCAACTATTGCTGGTGACGGTGGTGTTGTTAATGATGTTTATGATGTTGTGGTGGATGATGACGACGACGATGATTATATTGTTGTCACTCATTTTATCATTGTCTCTGCGTTCCCTATTGGGTGCCCTTGACGCTATATAAATTAAAAATACAAATAATAATAATAATAATAATATAGATAATAATACTGATAATGGTAATAATAATAATAATAATAATAATAATAATTATGATAAGAATTATTAAAATAATGACATTTCTGATGTAAGCTAAGATAGATTAAGATTAATATTGTTGTTATGTGGGTAAAAGGTGTTTGGGAAAAAATTTTAGGATTGATAGCATTTTGTTGTTGTTGTTAACGTTACGTTAATGTCTCCTTAGATGGTACAGTTGTTTCTGTTGCGCTGTTGTTTGTTATTATCGTTGTTTATGCCATGTTGTTGTTGTTGTTGTTTAATGTTTGATTAAAATATCATTGTCATTTAACAACCAATATGGATTTTTTATTGCAACTTTTATGTTTCAGTTTCTTTTGGCCAGGCCAGTGCCACAACAACAACAACAACAACAACAACAACAACAACAACAACAACAACAACAACAACAACAACAACAACAACAACAACAACAAAACAACAACAACAACTAAGGTATGAGTTTTAATAATATTTGTTTATTGTTCGCCTTGGTCACTTGCAATAACTGCCGACAGGATGGTGATGATGATGATGAGGATGAAGAAAAAGATGATGATGAAGAAAAAGATGATGATGATGTTGCTGACGTGAAAATGACATATATATACATTTATATACACATATCTTATACATGTATATAGTTATGGAAAAACGTTTTGAAAAAAAATTGTAAGTTTTTCTAAGTAATTTGCCACAAACGCGTGACCGAGTAGTTTGGCTTGAACATGCTTGTGCTGTCAACAAAATTTTTCTTCTCTACACATTTTCTTCCAGTTCTTATCAACGTTATTTATATTTTTATCGTTCTATTGTCATGAATGCTAGTGTTGGGGACGTCAACAATTCTAATGTTATTGTAATCAATTTTAAATTCAGTTGTCATTAATTTTATTGCAATTGACATAAATATTGTAAATATAATTTGAAATCTAAACAAAATGAAACTAATATTCATGAAATAATTTCACATTTCAATTTTATTTTGATTTAAATAACGTTAAATTTTCAAATTATTTAATCCCAAAATGACATAAGTCTCAAAATGATACGATCTTATATACATAAGAAATAAACTCACCGTCTCGAATTAAGAACTTCTAACAATGATGATTGGTCTTAACGACTTCAAATAATGAAGACGAAAAAATAATTTAATGTTTTGTTGCGGTAACTTGAACAATACAATGGAAAGAAATGTTATTCACGTGCACTTCGTCCAATCCAACTTCAACTGCGACATCACCAAATACAACAGCCAAGATGAACAACTGTTGAAGAACTACGCACTTTTTTAACCAACCTATTATTATTTATTTATTATATATTTTTTTCTTAATTTTTCGAGTGTTCAAATTTCAAAAAATACGACCTAGATTTATGATATATATGCATGTTATATATATATATATATATACATATATATATATATATGTATATATATACATATATATATATACCACACGTATATTACTAATAATGACAAAAGCAGATATACACGTAGGCGTTCAGCTCATGTTTGCAGACTAGAACATCTATTTGCAATCAGAGTTTTAATAGTTCCATGTTTATTCGTACAAAAAATTTAGATACTTTATTAACACAAACTTACACTCACACGCACACACAATTACACACTCCTCTCTCACACACACACACATATATATATATATATATAAATTCTATAAATATATATATATACTTAAAAATTGAAAAAAATTTAGATAAATTAACCTGGAAATTTAGTCAGCGATCACCAAAATAAAATATAAATTTTCACACAAGAACGAACACTGGTTATGGTTTTATTACAAAAATTGGCATAAGAGCTTCGGGTAAAATCGGGGAATAAAAAAAAACCAGGGGTAGGCAAAATTTTGATGTTAAGGTGCATTGAGAATTATATTTCCTTTGAAGGGCCGCATATGTACTTAGAAATTAAATTTTTTCTACCCGGGGGAGAATTTTTTTAAGATTTGTAGCTCCTTCTTTTTGCTATAATGTCTGGCTGACGACCTTCTTTTGGCGAACAAGGCCTCGCGAGCCGCATAAAATAGCTTCGCGGGCCGTAGTTTGCCCACCCATGGCCTACACCAATGATAAAATTTATGTTTAATTGTATTAATTAAAAGAAAATGGACCTAGTGAAAAAGACTCATTTAAAAGTGATTCCAAATTGGTAAAATTTTGAGCAAAGAAAATAGATACAACAAAAAATAAAATAACTAACATTTTTTAATTATTCAAACTTGTCTGCATAAAACAAAATATTGACGTCAAGCAATTAAATGAAAACATAAACTAAAATGAAAGTCTTATTTATAATTGTTACGGTTATAGGTCAAATACATTTGCCTGAAAATATTAGTTAGTCAGTCAACGCTTTCTTTTTAACTACCCTTTAATCTACATGTTTTAGCTTGTCATTTGATTTTAACGGTAAATATATTTTCTTCATTGAAAATGTTGAAGTTATTCGAATTAAATAATTCATGCATCATCAACACTTTTTTCATCGGTAATATTTTATTTGAACGATTGTTTATAGATAGTATATATTATTATATTTAATATTATTTGTAAAATAGCTATATAAGTATATCATCTATCTTTAGGTTTTGCTATCAAGATATTTTGATTTTTTTAAAGACTAGTAAATAAAATATTTTAATTTTGTCACTAGTTCAGTTATTATTTCTATTATTTATCGAGTACAATTTTTGCATTTTTTGAGGAAGACTCGTTTAAAAACTTCATAAAATGGTGGTGGTCTTAAAATTTCAATGAAAAAACCTGAGATATGACGTTAGTTGAGTTACAAATTGATATTACAGCATCTATCTCGGTTTCAAGATATGAATATGAATTAAAAAAAATTAAGATTATCTAAGAACAATCACTGTTACTGATAAGTAAATGACGAACTTTATTTTTATTTTGTTGTAAAATTTGATTGATTGAATAAAATTCAACTAATTTTTTAGTTTCTACCGAAAATTCCAGTTCGACAACTAACGCTACTACTACTACCACTACTACTACTACTACCACTACTACTACTCCTACTACTACAACAGTGAAAATAAAACCATCGACAACAACGTCCCTCAAAAGAGTTACTTGTGCTTACTTTGTTGAAAGAAAAGTCTTTAAAGATACCAAAGTTGTCTTTCCAAAAACGTGCAGAAATCACCAATATGAAAATGGCCGAGAGATTGGGAACGACTTAATCACAATCTATGAAAATTTATCGCTTTCAAAATACACCTGCCAGAATGAAGAAACAAAATATACAATAATAGTTGTGCCAATGAGTTAGGATTTTATCGTGTTAACAATTTTATTAAAATGCCAGAAACTGTGCTGCTAAGAACGGTGTTACAAAAAATGTTAAAGAGCGTAATTAGATAGCCCTTATAATAAATTCAATAATGAAGAAGTTTTGCACAAATTAAAAATAACTTAATTATTGCTAGAATTTTACAACAAAATGTAACAACTAAGCACCAAAATTCGATTGAAAGAATTTGATTTTTCATCTGTTCAAAGTTTTTTACAATTTTTAATAATGGAATTACTTTTAGTTGGAGAAACGAAATGCAATGCAGAAAATATTTATGAAACTGATACCGTGATACTTCAGTGTTTTTTCCCTTTGAAACCAACTGAAAGAAAAGAAAAATATACGCTAGGTTTAAAACTTGTAGACACAAAGTCGTATGTATGCGGAAATGTCATAAAAGGCAAAACGGTACGTGAATTTGTCACTTTTTGCTCAGACATATGTTAAACTTTCTGTTTTGCTGTATTAAATTGTTGCAAAAAAACTTTAAGACTAATTTAAACTTTCTATATATTGTTCACGACATCGAAGAAGTTTCATTGTATTTGAGAGTGAAAAATGATAAATAATTGTATGTGAAATTTCGGATGATCATAATTGAAACATTTTCAAATGCGTGTAAGCTTTAACAGAATGAAATAAAAAAATCTCAAAAAATAATTTAAAAAATAAAAATAAAGAAACATGATTGAAAATATCAAAAAATAAATTACAAATACAAATTTGATTTTATGTCAACCTAGGATGAATAATTTTCAACATTGAAAACCCATTAAACAATAAACTAGTGATGTTAAGTCATCCGAGCCGAGCCGAGCCAAGCCGATGGAGCCGATTCGGCTAAGATTTGGAAAACGATCGGCTCTATCTAATTATCTATTATTATTATTATTTATAATTTCTATTTCGCTCTTTCATTTAAATTAAAAAATATATTTTTAAATATACTTGCGTTATTTCAATGATATTAATATTCGTATATAAAACGAGCAGTATTTTATTATTTAAGGCACTTATAAATCTACGCATAGTAAAATAATTTTTCTTTCGTTTGGGGAAATGCGCATTTATTGGCTTTGCGCCTTGGATCAGCTCGGCTTGGATCAGCTCACCTTGGATCGGAAAGCCTTAGATCGACTCGCCTTGAATCGACTCGCCTTGGATCGGCTTGCCTTGGTTAGACTCGCCTTGGATTGGCTCGCTTTGGATCGGATTGCCTTGGATCGTCTCGCCTTAGTTCAGCTCGGCATGGACGCTCAGCTTGGCTTGGATTTTTATCAACTTGGCCCGGTTTAAAGGTCTAGCTGAGCCAAGCCAAATCGTTAACATTACAATATATAAAAAAAACATTTTACGCTTTAATTTTGGGCGCACTTTTTTTGTTGAATAACCGGACAATATATAAGAAATAGAATGCATACATGTTTTTGGCAATCAAAAAGTAAAATTCAAATTTTTTTGTAATAGGTTTATGTTTTCTTTTATCAGGCTTTCAATTTCACGGCGTCGTTTCACTTCACGACATACTTCCTGACACTTTCCTTCAATTATGCTCTGTTTGAAGGCGGTGAATGTGAGGAAGATCCAATAATGGACTGCTCCACCGAGAAGCATAAGTACACACATAAAGTTTCAAGTTATTTATCTACGTTTCACTATTTTTCAGTGTTCAATATAAAACTTATTATTGTAGAAATACTCAAATGTTTCTTATAAAAATTTTGGCATTGGGGCGTACTAAGGCTGTCTGGTTCTAAAAAAATTATGTCTGAGTGAACAAAGTTAACAAATAATTTTACCTTGCTGCCGCTTCAGCATCCATTTAAATTTTTTTAAATCAAATCATTTGGTTATTTTTCCAAAATCCACTGATAAAAATTGTCACGAAAACATTTTTGTAAATGAAGTGAGGACAATTTGTTATAAAATTTTGCAATAAACTAATAATGAATTTGCATGGCTTAGGTATGATACATTAAAATTTGAATTGATAATCCAATCAATTAAATCAGTTTCTTCTGATGAATTAAATTTTTTTTGTAATTATTCGTGCTCTGATGTCAGTTACTTGATTTATCTTTTTATTCATAGATTCGATCCATTTTTTCAGATATTAAACCACCGATGCCAGAAATAGTGGGAAGTGGGGAAACGAAGCTGTGCGATGAGATGCAGTGCAAATTGCCAATTAATGACACGAGCGTGGTGACATTTGATTTTAAATCAGACCACGCGTACGATCAGTGCGGAGCTCTCAAATTCCTGCGCCTGAAAATAGCGGGCGGTCAAACTCTAACATGCAACGTTACAACTTACATCAGTAAGCTCGTTACCGCATTCATTAATTAAACTTTAAGTCTCTTAAAATTTAGAAATTTTAATAAAAATATATATAATCGATAAAATACAAATTCCAATAGAAGATGTCCCATACAGCAAACAAGTAACGAAACATGTGTACGTTAAAGGTATATATTATTTTATTTTTTAATCAACCGTAATTATTTAATTTTTGGTTCATTTTTTCATTTCATTCAGATGACTCTCGCTCCGACTGCCCTCCTTGCTCCGGTTATCCTTTTAGATTAATAAATAATCATACTCTATAGTCTTTGTTTATGATACGATTGCAAATGGTTCTAAATCAACACAAACAGCGTTTGGTTATGAAATCTTTCTCCAAATATCACGGAAAAAAAGTCAGAATTTTATTATAAGAAAGAACAGCGTAATCAGCATTGAATCAATAAATTCACCTGGATTCATTCTTATTCAAAACGTTTAAAATCAGTTTATAAATTTTTTTTTATATATGATAATCTGACTGTTTTAGCTACATGAAATGCTATATAAACGGAACCTATATGTTTTAAAATAAAATGGGACATTACATAAAATGAAATTATTCTTTGAATTTGAAAAGCTGGCAAAACAACAGCAGAGGGTAGGAATGATCGGATTCCAGCGGATCGCGTTATTAAAAATGCCCTTGGTTTTGTCGGAGGCATTTTCACGTTCATCATTCTGTGCGGTCTCATGATTTCAGCACGTAACAGACTGAGAATAAGTGAGAATGTGTTTCTATTGCACAGATGTACAAAAACATGAATTGAGTAGTTCAATGTTTTATCAGAGTTTCATACACTCAATCACTCGACATTTTTATTTAATAATTTATTTTTTATGAAACAAAATGAAATAACCAATTGCAGGTTTGAAGCATGAATCGGACACAGTACGAGAATCAACTTCCACTTAAACTAATCACTCTAAATTTAACAATTTGATTATAATAAAGTCGACATGAGGAAAGAAATTAAGGAATCAAATTGTCGCAGACAGACATCTATATACGATGGATATATATATATATATATATATTGGATGCATTGAAATTAATTTGCACTTTCACTAATTTATTGACTATACACTTTCAAAGTAGTAAATTTTATTTGCTTTATTGTTGATCTCTTGTTGCAGAAGTGCTATGAGTTTATCGTTCAATTATAGTAACAGTTTTTTGTGTTTGTTAGTTATATTAATACCTAAAATACATTGCATTATAGGTGTTTATCTATTTTATACATTTTTAGTGTTTTTTATTTTAAATTTTATTCTCTTTAATATTTTGGTTCAACTAATAATAAAAACATACAAAAGATTTTTATCTTATATATGCATTAATTTTCTAAAATGTCACCTGATACAAAATCTTTTTTTTCGATTAAAAAATGTTATATGAAATAACATTTAATAAAACCTCTTCATGACAAAAATCTTTGAAAAATGTTCTTCTAAATTTTTTAAACAGCGTTTAATCGCATTAGGTAAAAATGCCAAAATGTTTTTGTTATTTCATTCCATAGAGTTGGACACGTTTAAAATAACATAATAGAAGTGGTTATGTGATATTTACTAATTTTATTCGTAACTTCATCATTTTACTTCATTTCATTTTGTTAAAATATTTGTTAATAAATTGTTTACAAACGAAAATATATTGATATTTTTTAAAAACATTTTTTGTTAGAATATCATTTCAAGACGATGCAAGCAAACTTGACGAGTGCCTGGTAAGAATGATGCCCTGGATGGCCGAGAAACATCACAACGTCCGGACTTCATCTTCATCATCTTCATCGACCAATCAACTATTAATTAAAATGACTGTTCACTGTTCTAACCATGCGGCATAAGCAGTTTTTTGACTTTACTGCAGGTAAAAAACAATTTAAATATTAAAAGAGGACACAGGAGCTTGAAACGATGTAACGTGATGTCTGAGGACGTGATGAATATCTGCATTCTCAACGAACATTTTTCAGATCCTGAAATTATAACAAATATTTTTATATCTCTTCAAATGACACAAAAATATGCCATTTACAAAGCTCTGTAACTTTGTCAGTTTTCTAAAAGTTGTGGAGTCAATAGAGAAATCGCTAATTTGACCGATTCTTATAAATTCGTTATTACATATGAACGTAAGTTAAAAAATACATTAAAATTAACAAATTTAATTCACATGTTTATACGCGTATGTTTGTACAATGTACATGTACACTACACATAAATGGATTTCTAAGTGTAGTTACGTTTATTTGTACGTTATATGTAAGTTTTTATACTTGTATGTGTGTTTGTACACGTATATGTGTACGAAGCAACTAAGGATGTGTCCAATTTTTGAATGTATTATAAGCGCCAACACCAGGGTTTGCATATAAATCAATAGGAATATTTGACCGATATACAGTTTGTTCCAAACAGGTATGTACGTTGTTAGCGTATGTGAAGTGTATGCATTAACGTTGTACACTGCGAATGTGATGTGCATATAAATTTGTCGTGCCTTTCTTTATGGTCTGTCATTCTTAGAAATGAATACGTGTAGTTGTGAACGTGTTCGTCTCTTCATGACATGCAACGTCGAAATATTGTAACTACTCGTCAAACTTGCGCTGATTTCAACGGAAGCATCAATCTTACATACGTGCATGTGTGAGGAACATGGAAAGATTGAGAAAGAAAAAAGGAGATTACATCGTAAACGGAGCCTTCCTACTAAAAACTAAAAAACGCTGTGTATATCGAATACGTAAAGACACCCAAACTCGAATGTACATATACAAATGCATTGTACAAATGTGGCACTTGTTTCTTGATATTATTGTGATAGGAACAATTCAAACAATGTTTGCAAGAACGGTGAGGTCGATGATTAAATATTGTATTGTATTGTATCACGCCAAATATTGTAGACATATGCATGTCTACAATATTTGGCGTGATATTTTTATTCTAACAAATATTTGCCCCTATCAAATGGAGCGCTAGTAAATTGTTATTGTACCATAAAACAAAATTTGCTTCAATAATGATCTTTTATTTCTTGGAAATACTGAATTTATTAGAAAAAAGCCGAAGACACAAGTACATGAATCAACGTTTAGTAGGCTGGCTGGCTGGCTGGCTGGCTGGTTGGCTGGTTGGCTGGCTGGCTGGCATAAACGGGAGCAAGTTTACTATGTTCCACAGCTAGACCGTCTGAAATTTTGGCAAATAAAAATGGGATAACGTATCAAAACTTGTCTAAGTCATAAAAATTTTAATTGGAAGTTTTTACAAAATTCTACAATTTAAATTTTTTAATTAAATGCCATGGAGCGCCAGAAATTTAATATAAAGTTTATGTTTTTGTCTCCAATGTTTGGCATGGTCATGCACCTACATATAGAAATAATTAAGATATATATCAGGTCATATATGTTTATGCCTATTTTCATGTGTTTCATACTTAAACTAAAACTACATATGCATGATAAAACAAATTTTTCACTTATGGGATAATTTGTATTTGGAATTTTAGGCTTTAAAATGATTACTCTATTTTTCCTTATTCCAGAAAAAAAAGTTAACTTAATCGAAATATATATTTCAAAACATAAAAGTAAAGTCACCATTTACTTAACAGGCAACAAACACACAAGCAAACTTTTAATTTTTACACAAGCATTTCACATATAGAAAGAAAGAGAGAGAGAGGGAGAGAGAGGGAGAGAGAGGGAGAGAGAGAATGGAAGAATGAAAAAAGGGAGAGAGCGAGAGATTGAAAGAGCGATATACATGTATGTAGATGAATAGATAGTAAATAGTTTATCTGAAGGCATCCGAGGTTTTGAATATTTAATTTAATTAAATGTTTGCCAAAATTTTTTATTCCGCTGACAAATTTTTTCATTTTTTTTTTGTTTTGCCTGGAAAAATGTCAACAAACATTTTTTCAAGTTTGCAGTGTTTAGCGTTTTATTAATTGCTATAATTTAAAAAAACAAAATTAAGGTCTATGTTTCAAAAATTTTAAATTAATCGGAAGTATTTTAAAATATTCTATAATTTAAAATAAAAGCTAACATCAAAATTTTTCTAAAAGCAGCTATGTTTGTTGTTTTTTAGAAAAAACATTCATTTTTTCTAAAATCATCGTGGCTCTGGTGTGGTTGGTGCCTGGGCCTACCTCCTGCAAATGTGTGCACGTTGTGTTCTTCGTTCGGATATTGCAGCTTCCGTGCTTTCAAAAGTTTAATTGCAACCGAGTGAAGAACGAAGAACGATTTGTCAGATCAGCATTATTAAGAACACGCAAACACACACACACAGACATCTATACATAAATTTACATAAACATACGTAGATAAATACGTGTCAACATATACATACGTACAAAGGTACAATAACGCTGAAAATGCAGGACGTTTATGCTGGTTTTTGTTACTCAAATATAAACATTATAAACACACGTGCGTATGTAAAAACATTTGGAAAACAAATAATATGAGTAGGTTCGTAGCAACCTTTGAGCGTACGCATCATGTGCAGAACATTGACGAACCACTTCAAGCTGGATGTCCATTGAACCTTGCTACACGACGGACCATGTGATTTCATGTGGGATGTTTGCACATTTGCAAATGCTCACAATACACTCGCTTACTTTTGAAACGCATCCCGTATGTACACTATATATAGATACGTACACAATCGATTCTATTATGCTATCTCATACAAACGCATTGCATATGCAAGGAGTATGCGTTCACACTACAAGTACGATTTGTATGTAAATATAAAATGCACGCCATATTTCACGTTGTACGCATACGCCCATCCAGATGTACGCTATATACACGCGTGAAGAATCTATACGCTCCACATACTGTGTGCAGGCATCTGAGTAAGAATCTATATACTCGTTGTACACAAGCGAATTGAGAAGCGGAAGTTGCAAATGTACAGCTGTGCCGATGATGACGTAACGGATGGAGATGTGCTGTTGTACGCTGGTTGTGTGTATAAAAGTGAATGCCTAGATGAGTGTTCGTTCACACGTTTATTATTCTTTTTCGTTTGATATTGCTGAATTTTTAATTACATTTCAAATTAACTTTTTCTACGCCTTTTTACTTTCTTGTGTTTTTAATTAGAATTTGTAAGCGTCTATTTTCATTGCCTGGTGCAGATTTGTGATATAATTTTTGACTTTCTGAAATTTTTAAATAATTTAAATTAAAAAATTCCATTTACTGCTGCTGATATATTCAGGGTCATCGTTGATAAAGAAATACAAATTCTCAGTTATATTTCATATTATTAACAAGTTAGACCTCACATATTGTACAGATTCATTGAAATTTATTTAAATTCATTTTTTTCTTTAATATAAATTAATAGATAAAAATATATATTCGACATTATCACGCTGACTCGAAGATGTTTAGTTGGCCGTCTCAGTTGAGACTTCCAAGTTTACGTTGAATACTTCAAGGAAAATAAATGCGTTCATAAATAATTTTCAAAATCGAACAAATTTCAAAATTTTGAAAGTAACATCTACAAACAATTATATATAAATATGCTGGAAAAACAACATTTGCAACAACAACCGCACAACTAACAACGACATTAACCACCAACAACTCTAACAAAACTATTATAAACAACAATATAACGGCACTTTTAACGGTTTCAATTTGTTAGTCATCATTTTCTACAGTTGCTGTTGAGTCATCCTCATCGCGCAAACGAAAGAACAAACGAACGAACGAACGGACGAAGAGACAGACAAATAGAAAAACAAAAAGAAGACAGATGGATGGAATGAAAGAGTGCGATGAAAGACAACCACCGATTGAAATTGATAACGTTCAAGAATTCCTTATCAAAACCGGTGCGATCTCCGCTTTTTTCATATTTGTTCTAAAATTTTCATTTAAATATTAGTTTAAATTATTTTAGAAGAATTGTTTCCAAACTTTGAAAGCATGATAATGATTAAATAAAAAGTTTTTCTACATTAATGTTTTCAATGGCAGCAAATATGAATAGCATCTTAATAACATTCGCTCTAATTAAATAATAAGTGCATTCATTAATTTATTAAAATTAATCATAATGCAAAAATATTGGACATATGACTTTAAAACATTTCAAATAAATTAAATTCTTTAAATTCGCGTTATAATGTTAGACTGATAAACAGATAGACACACACATATGAAGACACACACAGTACACACACATATATATTAACGGACACATACACATATAAAGACACACACACACACAATGAAGACAGACGTTGTATATATATATATATATTGTATATATATATATATATAGAATGATCAGATGATAAGAAAATTAAAAATGCTTAGATTTCTAAATTTAACTAAATTTCACTTTGAGATTTTTTTTACTGTCATCAGCCATGTTGATGGCGGAATTCATAGTCTGTGAATACAATTGCAAGCACACCAAACACGTGGTGATCTTTAACATTTCATAATGCACCGCACCACTCATATACAAAACAAACATTAAAACTGACACACAAACACATGGAACAAATGTAAATACACTTAACCAATCCAGCTATCTATCTACGTTTGTATGATATGTGTGTGTGTTTTAGTGAATGAAGTATGGATATGTCTGTAATGAATGATGTATGGCATATATGTGTGCACGATGAATGATGTACGTTTGTAGTAGGAGTAATGCTGCGAAATATTATTTTTATATATGTTTTAATATAATACATGGAGATGGTGATGCGTCATACATTAATTTTGTGTTCACATTTACGCATATACAGTACACACATAGTTTGATGCCTTCACACGATATATATATATATATATATATATACTTACATACAAAAATTTTTTTATTGTATATATATATATATATATACATGTATATTTTTGTAAGAATGTATGAAGAAATGTAAATGGATTGTATATTAGAAGACGTTTCGCATGTTAACATTTAAAACATCATTCAGATGAGTCGTTCAAGCCTGAGGAAGCTGATGATGAAGTTGAGTTTTTACTAAAACCGGATTTGGTTGAGGATATGGCTTCAATGACGGCCAACATGGCTTCCTTAGCAACGGAACTGACGGAAGAGGAAATGCGAGACGTGGAGGAGATGGGATTGAAGGAGAACGAGTGCGAAATCACTCCTTCCATTAACACATCGGTCATTCTCAACGATGTTGACGATGTTGATGTTGAGTTGTCGTTGAGCGAGCAAGGAGATGCTATCGATAAAAATGTCGGAATCGATCGAATTTGTTCGAATATTCGCGACGATTTAAAGTTTCACAATTATGATGACGACGACGACGATTTGAGCGATATTTTAGTTTTGAAGAAGCCAGAACTTGTCATTTTGCAGCAGCAGCAGCAACAACCTCAACCTGATATCTTGCTGGAAGGCATCGCAGAAGAAGCGGAAGAGGATATTAACAAGGATATCGAAGAGGAATATGATTCCGTTGTAATCAAGGATGATGACGATGATGACGAAGAAGAGGAAGATGATGACGACAAAGAAAAAATTGTTAACGTTGATAATAATGGCGTTCTAACTAACCGTTACACAGCGGAGAATACAGATGATAACTTGCTTGTGGATCTAAGTGAAAAGATTGAGAACGCGAAGAACTTTGATTACCATAATGAACCGTTAATCGTCGTCGGAAGTGAAGGTGATGATGACGATGAAGTTATGAACGAAAATAATCAACCGGACAAACTATCAGAAACAAATAATTTGCCTCATGAAGACGAAGAAGAGGATGAAGATCAGTCAAACGAATCAACGCAGCAGCAGCAACCAGTGGACCGACAGGATGGAAGTCTCCAGAAGGACAGGAGTGACGTACACGAATACGTCAACATCGAACAATTCTCCCCGAAACCAAAGCAAGCGTCAGCTGAATTTGACAAAAACAACGCCAAATTAGCCGAGAGAGCCGTAATAACCGAAGACGATTTCATATTCGAAGAGAGTCCATCAACAACAACAGCTACGACATCCAACGATTCATTTTATATCACCAGCAATGCTACAGCTAACAACAACATTGATAACGACAACAACACAATGTTTCATGATTACGAGAACGTTGATAAAGCAATACCGGAGTGTGTGAGAAGTAATGTTTTACGTAAGAACGCATCTTCTGATGTCGTTCCGCAGAATGTTTGCTCTACGCCTGCTGATGCTGCCGACGATGATGGGGTTGATAAAGTTGCTGCAACGAATCTGCCTCCAATGAACAATCATGAAAATGATCAGGATGATGAAGATGATGACAGAAATGTTGAACATGACGAGCCTGAGGAAGAAAGAAATGATGAAGACGGAAATAAAAAAGTCGTGGTTAATGGCAACATCAATTTAATTGCAAGCAACAACAAAGTCATTGTTATTAGCAACATCAGTAATCCATACAACGAACAACCGTTTCTTATTGATCACATTAATGTGCAGGATTATGACGTCAGCAAGGAGAAAGATCATGTAGTTAGATGCGACGACGATGAGAAAGAAGATGAAGAAGCTGGTGGCTATGTAGATTTAAAGGTTGAGCTTGATGATGATGTGAGTGCATTAGCGTTGAACAAACAAAACAAAGCATGCAGTGATAACATTTCTGAAAATAATTTCTTACTTGAACAAACAAAAAACGTCGCAAAGTCAACGGTAGATTCTTCCAATTCGAACAACGTTAGCAACCACATTACATCCACTGTTGATTTAATTCAGAAATATGAACAACAACAATTCAATTCGAAACAGCAAATTTTTTCAGTGCAACCCCAGCAACAGCAGCAGCAGAAGACATTTGAAACTTTGCATCATATCAATGGAGAAAGTAAAACATCAAGCCGAAACCAGCAGACAGAAACAATCGCCTGTCAGACGCCCAACAATCTGAAAACATCGACAACCAGTGTTGCTATTAACACCATCAAAACTTCGACGACGACAACCTCAACGAACACGAACGTCACAATCACAACGTCAAAGATAAACGTGAAAGCAGCTAGAACAGTGCAAACACCCACGACGCCAACATCGGCAGGCCACAACACGAAGATCGCTGACATTCTTCCGGAAGCTGGATGTGTGAAGGCCCTAGTGGCTCAGTGGAGTCAGAGGTGGAGCAGGAAAGATGGAGACTGTGATGATGATAGGAAGATGAATAGGTTAGTTTTAAATAGTAGTCTTTCCAAATTTTTTTAATATATAGATAAAAATTGGATTTGAAGTTTCATCATTAAGGCCATTTCAACAATCAGTTTATCATCTTATGTCATTAAACTTGATGAACGGTTTCATTATACGCTTTTTAAATGATAAATACTTACTTCTTCATACGGTCACATTTTCATTTAATTTTACAGTTTCGTAAAAAAAGTGAACCAACCATACAGGTCTCGATCGTGTGGACCACTGCCTCGCAAGGTTCGTCTGCTCTCTCCAGACGGGGGTTTGGAAGATAGGGAGGATGAAGATGGTGAGAAAAAGAGAGAGTGGCAAGTTGTCGGCGAAGATGGGCAGCAATATCGGTCCCAACCGTCTCTCACGAGAACCATGCTGGTCAAGTTTGAAAGAATGGATTTTGACACTGCTGGCAGCTCTGCTGGTCATAAGGAGGAAGACAAGCCACAAAAAAAGGTGACCTTGTAAAAAAATTAGCGTACAAAATAAAATTTGCCATAGACTTTTAAACATTTTTCTGTCGAGTCGAACAATGAATAAATGCGGATGACAGATATAAATAATATTTCATTACTTATTCTTTGGAAATGTAAAAAATGCTAGGAATTATTTCTTAGAATCTGAGCTATTTTTCAAATGTTCCGGCAAAGTAAAGAAGATTAATTGTCAGAATGTGTTCTTATATAAACCTATATAAATATTTTTTTGAAATTTATTTTCATCTTTTTGTAGATAAAAAATTATTTAATTTATAACATTCATAAATTGTTTTTTTTCACAGAAATATAAATGGGAAGTAAAAGAGCCAAAGATACTCTCACGTCCATCCTTCCTGGCACATTGATGAACGATGGTGATGATGATACGATGATGGTGATGATGATGCTACCATGACGATGATGGCGACCCTTATACGATGATGATGATATTGTGATGAAAATATCTTAAAAAATTTGTTGACATTGTTTCTAGATTATGTAATTATGATTGATATGATGCGACATGAAGCGATGTTGTGATTAAACTGTTATTCGTTTAATATAATGTGAATTTGTTGTTGATTTCGATGATGGGGACAAAGAAGATGAAGACAACGACGACGACGATGATGATACATGATAAAGATATAATTTAAAAGTTATAGACTTTCAGAAAATTTTTAATACCCTCAAAAACGAATCTTCAAAGGAGAATTTAATATATTTTTTTTAACTTTCAATTTTGTACCTACCTTATTTATGGACCCCATGTATATATAAATAAATAAACAAATAAATAAATGTATATATATATATATATATATATATCAGTTAAAATGTTTATAAAAAAAACCGTCATCTCAATAACAATGCAATTAACGCCAATTTGAACGTACTTATATCAACACATCACAGTTTAAAATTAAACAGATAGAATGTTTTATACAGACTTACATTTTTTTTATTCTAATGACAAACATTAATGTAATTGTTACACATACTTAACTATAATTTTATACACGCACACATTTACACACATTTACACACACAGACACACACACACATATACACACACACACAAATACATATATACATACACACACAGACGCAAAGGTCACACATTATTTATATTTATTTATTTGCATCTATCATGAATACATGCATGCATACAATCCATTTCACGCACCGTTAACTTTTTCAAAAAATTTTTTTACCGCATGTTCACGATCGTTCCATCAATCTTTGTCATTTTTTTGTTATTATCGTTACTATTGTTATCATTCGCGTATTTGATATTTATAATTATCAGAACTATAATAATAATAATAATAATTTTATTTTATTTATTATTAATATAATTGTTTCGTTTGTCAACGTGTTTCTCACTTAAATCCAGAATGTGTGTTGAATGTTATCATGCTAACAAATTATCATTAATATTGGCGATGATATTAATGGAACTGATTTTAAAGGATTATTAATTAATAATAGTAATATTGTTATTATTTTTATTATAATTTTAACTATAAATATAATACAAATAATAATTTTTTGTTATTATCGCTCTTATGATTTCAACTGTAGAAAAATTGTTTGTCAGAAAAATTTAAAATGATTCCTGAGAAATGAATTTCAATTTAAAACTTGCTTTCGGGATACTAGAAAAACAATCATCAATATAGCCAAACTTCAGTGTAGTATATCTTCTGTTATTAGGAAACAGGTTGGACTAGGCAAATATTAAAAAGTAATTTAATTAGAATTATTCGCAAGCAGACGAGTTTATGAATAAAAAAAACAATTTTCGCTTATATAAAAATTAAAAATACTGCTTCGTTAGTGTAATTAAAGTAAAGTTGAAAAGATAAAAATAACAAAATGACTCTTAATCGGGGGTGGGCAAACTACGGCCCGCGAAGTTATTTTATGCGGGCATATGCGGCTCTTCAAAGGTGAAATAGTTCTCAATGCGGCCTTCACAGCAAAAAGTTTGCCCAACCCTGTTTCAAATGAAGGAGCGCTCGATTGTCGAATCAGCTGAAACGTTACAAGATATAGCAAAGTTGTATAAAATTGTTGAAGTTGGTTAAGGGTCATCAACCCGTGTAATGAAAATCATGGAATGCGAAAAACGATTTGAATTATAAAATCATATTGAAAAAATTATTATTAAAAGTTGTTTGTAGTTTTTTCATTGTTGGTGATTTATAAGGTCATCTCAGTTGACTTTAGCCAATCATCATGTTTCGACGTTGCTGAGTTGTCGTTTTTTTAGGTGCGTAGAAAATAAATTTGTTTTGAAATAATTGAATAACCAATTTCTAACTTTTATGACACACAAGTATGATTGTGGCTTCGATTTATATTTGTAAAAACATTGCATCCGAACAAAAATAATTTTGAAAAAAGTTAAAAATGTGGAACGAAAAAAACGTGAAAATATAAAATATACAAAAGAAATCGTAAAATTACATATATACAATAAAAAAATTATTGAAAATACGCTGTGTTTAAAAATTAAGAACAATGCGTACTAATTTGCAAACATAGGTAACTAGACAAAAAAATAAACGTGAATTAACGTGATTTTTTCGCATTTCAATCGTACGAAGTTTAGCAAATTCAATAAAAATATATTCCTAAATAATATGACATAATTCAAGGAAATGTTACATCGAGACAAACGTACAATGAATAATTTTCTGATGAATGACACATTAAAATGCAATAAAAAAATTGTGCCAGCCATAAAATTTTGTTTACATATAATGCCTTTGAGGTTGAATGTAGTTAGTGATGAATAATGCTGTGGAAAGCTACAAAATTGCGAATCAATTGCTTATTGTTCCCCTGTGTTTGATCACCGTACACAATTTCAGCTTGGTACACAAGCTAGATATGTGCTTGCTGTTGTGCAACTTTGCTGTCAGTTCGTTACTGGCGTTGTATGAGTGAATGGAATGTAGCTTAGTAAATGTTCAATAATATAAGAATTTGTGATGAAATTAATTTAAATCGATGCAAATATAAAAATACCATGACTTCCGTGAACGATGGAAAGACGTAAAAAGACAGCTGAATGGATAAATGATGTGGATAATATGAGGGAAAACAAGAGATTAATGCCAAAGATAAGTCAACTAATCCAACGACCTAATTGTTGTTTGAATATTTATGAAGCCACCGACCAACATGCATCTAACATGACCGCACAAAATACCGGTGTGATTGATGATACAAACGTTTAACTGCAGCAGCAACTTGCATAAAATTCCAATTAAAAGTAGGCTGCCCTATTGAAAGGAACACTCTAGATATTATTTGAAAATCTGCAAATTGGTACAAGTGATTTAAAGCGCACTTGGGCCGGAGATATTTGGAGGGGTGCTTTTGGGAGCCTCCTTGCGACAATTAATTTATAAACGGACGAATGCGAAGTAATAAAATTAGATTGAAATGTAAATTATATTTTTCCTAGGTCATAGTCGATGAATGTTTTATCTGAATTTCCGATGACAGCAGTTGCGAATGAACGTTGAATGGAAGGTAGCACAATCTGACCGCGTTCTCCGCTGTTGCAACCGTCCGTTGTCAGAAAGTTCGTACCAGCAGAACAATGTGATCCTTTAGAAGTAGGCAAATGAAAATTCACAAAGGTGTTATCTCTATCATCATCCTCATCATCATTACTGCAGATATGATCATTATCTATATTATCATAAGAATCGTTTTTATTTTTATTGCACGAACTATTTTTATTGTCGTGAAGAATGTGGTTGACGCTGCCTGCTGGTGCATCTTGCAAGATGATCTTCTTGGAGGCAGAGGAGACCAGCGTGGGCATTGAAGTGTGCTTCCTGCAAGAATGAAGAAAGTGAACGGAACAATTGTTTATTAGTTGCAGGCAGTACGTGCTTCGAGTACATAACGAAAAAAAACGCAGTAAAATATACGAGACACGTACGTACTCAGACAACCAAGCATACATACAAAAAACAATGTACATACAGGAGAACGCAACATAATACGCAAGCATAAAGCACATTAAACGCGTTGCAAAACATTAAGCTAGAAACACCAAAACATGAGCCCTTATTCATTTCACGTTCATTAACGTCATTTCGTTACAAAAATTCAATGTTTAATATCTAAGCATGCCATGATGTGTAAACCTATTGAGAGTTTTGTCTTAAAATCAGCTTTATTTTCAACTGAATCGCATAAATTTTGAAACCCAATGTCGGTCGTAGTTGAGATACTTAAAAGAAGGAAGCACGTTTTTCACTTATATCCGGCTCTCTAACCAGCCATATAAACTTGCATAACTCAAATTTGAAACAAAATATTAATAAAATTGATTTAGAAATAAAAAGCAACAATGAAAGAAAGAGAACCTCGAAAATTTAATCAGATCAACTGTATTTGATCTCGCATTCAAGTCGTACTTCTGAAATTTTATGAACAATTTTTAAAAATTAAAACAAAGTATTAGTTGGTATTTAAAAATTAAAAAAGACTTTGACAAGCGACAAATACAGCGTGAAAAACTCAACCGTTTTCAAAGAGAATCCGTTGAAATGCCAGTCTGCGCTCTAGTGAATGAATATTATTTTATAAAATTATGTTTAACATTATCAGATGAAATAATCTCTCACATTATACAGTAAACAACAAATCAAGTCAAGATTTCAGCACAAGGCAGCAAGATATGCATAAATTAGTCAAGAAATATGAATTTACATATTAATGAAACATTTATTAATAGAAAAAACAAACGGGCGTTCAAAGTCTGCAGTTTATTGTGGCGCCAGCGCTCAGCGGCACTTTTACATCCACAGGAGCGGCCCTCGCAACATAACGCTTGTTACAATTTATTTAGCGCACGAGAGTCGAAAATTTTGCTCAAACCCGCACAAATTCAACTGAAGCTCCATGAAAAAATAAAAAGAAAAAAGTGAAATAAAAATAAGATAAGAAGCAGAAAAATTAACAGACGAACAAATGAACATTTAAATAGTTACTCGTTTCTTAATAATGCGCGAAGATTTCTCGAGTTGCTTCTTCAGCTTTTCCGCATCCATCTTCTCGCAGTTCAGCGAAATTATCTAGATGGTGAAACAACAGTTGGCTCAAAACAGTTGAAAAGAATCATCTATCAATAGTTTGAAAGATAAACTTTCCAAACATGGATTGGATTATGAAAGTAAGATTTCACACAGTGAACATTTAAAAAAGCACTAAAAAATCTATTAATACAATACGATAGGTATTGATTTATATCAATAGAATAGAAACCAAACATAAATTATTTAACTATTAAAACAGTAAAGAGTTTTGCATGATAGCTGACGAAACTCTATAATTACATAAACTAATAATTAGATATTTTAACTATTTAAATTTTATTCCAAAAACTCAATTTTAATAAATTTAAAATCCAAGCCAATTCCAAAGGAATGTACTAACTCCCCACTGTATAGACTGACAGGTCAAAAGGTTGTGAGGAACGGAGTTGCCTATCTTAATTTTCATCAGTCTGTGTCCACCTTTGACGAATATTTAATTTGAGGTACATTGTTTTACATTAAAATATTTCGTACTATATAGTGGCTGTTATATTTACAAATAGCCGTAAAGACTTAGCTCAAAAGATATGTGCCATGTCTGCTGGTTGTTATTGCACGGTGGCCTAGTTCAAATGTTGTCTGTCCGAAACTCAAAGACTATCATACGCCTTGTAGTGTAGGTATGATACGGTGCTTGCTTGTATATTCAATTACTGTACGTTCAAATGTACATGTTTTGTACAGAAAGGATGTACAACGTTTGTGACACAAAAGTTTGACTCTAAAGTTAACTTCGTAAAGAACGATACGATAGCCGGTTCTCTGTTAGTTACAGCTGCATAGTAAATTATATTATTATATCTATATCATATATGTATGATTGAAACAAATATTGAAACAAACATTTGTTGTACGAAGATACAAAATCAAGAAGGAGGTCCGATAAATTCTGTTAAAAGTTGAAATATAACAAGCAATGATGAACACCGTTAAGACAAAATTTTTATTGTAATTTTAATTGTTTGGGTTAGAAATATAACAAGCAATGATGAACACCGTTAAGACAAAATTTTTATTGTAATTTTAATTGTTTGGGTTAACATCAAAAAGATAATGTTGTTGTATGTTTTAAAAAATGAATCTCTAAAGATTAGCTCTAACAAAATTGAATAACAAATTTATTTGCAACTTCCAAATAGCCAACAACCCACATATCAACCAGTCAGCACACCAACCAACCAGCTAAGTTGGTTAGCAGCCACACGATCAACCATACAACCAGCCATCGAGCCAGCCAACCATCCGACCAACCAACTGACCAGCCAACCAACCAACCAACTTGATAAACAAGTGGTTTGTACATGAGATCGGGCTTCCTGCTGAGTCCAAGTGCTCCATACATGTTCATGTGATGAATGCCGAGTACCACGTGTCGATACACACGATTCTCAAACTGACTCTTGAAACTAACTGGAAACCTGTCCAGGTTGGCATATTGACTGGTGCAGTACCTGGAAAATCAACAAAACAAATTAACTTATTTAAACAAATCAACTATGATCATTTGTAATAATAGATTAAATAATAACACTGTTAAAATTCAACAATGTCAATTTTTATATAATTTGATTTCTAAAAAAAACTGCAAAAAAATAAGGTTAAGCAAACAGCTCTGATTTATATCAGAGCTGTTTGCAGTTTAATTATTAACTAAAAATAAAACTGGCACTCTTGTTCTGCTCCAGTTTCAATTCCAACATATTAATTTTATCGTCATCTCACATCAAACTTTCATTGATTAATTTAATATAAGATTAATAATGAAGCAAAAATGGATAAGTATAATAACATAGCAAGAACAACAGCTTCCAAACATTTGACAGGTAGGGATGCTCTGATCATATCCTTGGCGTACTCCATCAGACTGATTTTGAGGAGAAAAAAATTGAACTTAGGAAAATTGTAAAATTTGGTTAAAATTTTATATTTATTACCTGATTTGATTTTGGTATTAATATAATTAAGAATATTTTGGAATGATTTAGACTTCTTTAAATTATGAAATGAAACGCACAATAGTTTGATATATTTATTAAAAAAAATTTTTGTGCTTCAAAACTTTAAATTACCAACTAGCATAATGGTTTGTCTTTTTTAATACAAAAGAACTGCATGCCCGTATAGTTGTATCTACAATGAAATGTATTGACAAAAAATGAAAATAATTTTTTGCTAACAATAAAAATTAACTTTTCAAAAAACTAATTTTATTTGAAAAAAACATATAATCAAATTCTTCAATTAAGTTAATAAAAATTTAAAAAAACAATTTCTCATGAATAAGCATTACTGAAGAGATTCCAAGTACTTTTGAACCATTTCAAGTTTTGTGGTGACTGCCATGCTGCTAGGCAGATTGATGGGCGGTTTAGGAATAGGTACCTGTAAGTTAGGTGTCAGCAGCGCGGACGTACGTACAAACACACGCACCTGTATGCACGCACACGCACACCCATCCGCACGCACGCACGCATTAATTATTTACACACAAATGCATGTTTGTTTAGTCGTGTCTAGATATAATTCCAATGAAATTATTGTAAAATGAGTTGAAATCTCTGAATAAAATTGGCATATGACGAACTTCAGGACATTCTCGACCCTGGATATCTTCTCGCAACTGCACTCCCAGAGGATGTACGTAGCAGGCGAAACTCCACATCAACTCCCATGTTTCGACGTCCATGGGGAATCCACTTTTGTTTACGTAAAAATTTGTATTGCCGTGTTGTTTGCTTTTTTCTGCTTCATTTGTTACGCTGTTTCTATTATTTCCGTCGGGGTACGAGGTTACGGGATAAATAAATGAATAGGCGTGACTATATGAATTTGGGATGTTACCGTCGTTTTGGTGGCTGTTGTGGTTGTTGGTGATGGAGTTATTGTGGTTGTAGTGATCGTTGTTGAAGTTTGGGAAGCTGTGGTCTTTCGTTTTTCTGTATTGTTCGTCATTATCACTGTCTTGATGGCTTTGTGATTTTCCATTGCAACTGTTATGACTGTAATTTTCGCTCAAAATATTTTTTTTCTTGGAGTTACCGATTAATTCATCCAAGTTACAATACTTTTTTTTAATACATCGAGTTTTATTATTATTATTGTTGTGGTTCAAATTATATTTCTGTCTATTTTTATTATTACATTCTTTAACATAAATGGATAAAATTTCAGGTGCAATTTTACATTTGAAGTTTCGTTTCAATTTTTTCAACATAGTTCGAAAAAAAATACTTTCCTAATACTTTTTCTAAAAAAGATGAATTAACTAAAAAAGATAAAGATAAAATTGTAAACAACTCTTTTGCAAAAAAAAACGTCGTCATAACAACCGAACGAAGAACTAAAAATTTCTTGCTTTATTCTGCTATTCTATGTTATTCTAACTGTACGATGTTCTTTTATTATTCTTTTTTATTCTTATTCTTATAAAATATATGAAAAAAAGAACATGTAAGAATAATGAAGCCAATTATGTGAGTTGTATATTCATGAAGATCATATATTCATGGGAAAAGATGTAATAAAAGCAGTTGTAAAAACTTTTTTAGATGATAAATCCTCTTCTTACTGAAGTGCCACATACAAGATATTAACTATCAAAATATAACAATAATTAATTTACTTAATTAAATTAAGTAAGTTTCAAACATGAAGGTTCTAATTATTAATAGAGTGAATAATAAAGAAATGTGTGTAGTAGGATATTTTGAGATAGGCCTACCATATTCCCTTTCATTTCAATAGACATTTCTTTCTTGCTCTGATGAAGCTACTTTCCTAATCTAACATTGATATGATTGCATGTGTGTTGGTATCCATTCATTCACTTGAAGTCATTCAGTGAAATTTAAAAATATATTGTATTCTTACCTTAATTCTTTCAGTGGTATTGATTTTTAATAAAATGCAGTTTATAGTTTCATTTTGTATGAGCATATTTTATGGTTTAGTAAGTTTTTTAAGAAATTTATTTCTTTCCCGTTGTGATGTTAATATCTTTATTTTAACATAAAAGTCGTTAGACTGTATTCTTAAACTGTTAATCTATCTTAAAACATTTTTTAAAAAGATTTGAATATCGACATTTGATTGATACTTTTCATTTAATTAAACGAAAATAAAAGTAATTGTTTTATTTTAAATAAAATAAATACAAAAAAAACGAAAGTCTTCAAACAGTTAAAATTTAATTCGAGAACGCTCTCAGAAGACTAACGGTAATTTATAGTGAAAATAGTTTTTTTAAATAATTTCTTAAAGAAAATTTCAAAAAAAAGTTCGGTTCGATATCTTTGGCTTTAAAGAATGTAACATCAGAAAGGTGGAACCAGTTACTCGCAGTTTGTTAACAGGGGAAATAAATGGAAATTTTTTTTTGAGATAGTGAAAATATGTCCACACACTGTTTCATTCATCAATCCATCTAATAATCCATCCATCTATCTTTCTATCTATTCATCCGTCCATCCATTCATTTATCCATCTATCCTTTTATTCATTCATCCATCTGGTATATGCATATAAATTTTTTGTGTATCGTGTTTAAAAAGATGACATGACGGCCGAGAAAATTTTATAATATCAAATCTTGTAAAATCTATCTTAAAAGACATTTCTCTATTCATTGTTTTATTTATTAATCATTCTCCTCTTGGAATGAGGAAGGAAGGCACACGTGAATGTATATATATATATATATATATATATATATATATATATATATATATCCATGTTGTATCCATGTGCAACACGATGTTCTACGTTGTTTCAATGTTTCTGTAGCTGAAATGTTTTGACTTGCAACTGACAAGATAATAAAAAAACGATTTTCTTGTATTTCCAAACTCGACAGAGGTGTTTAATAGAGATAAAAGCCAAGACTATAACGACATTAACGGGCGGTATGAGCAATGATCCATAAATTGAAATATAAGTTAATGTAACTATATTCAAATGAAAAAAAACGTCATTTCTGAGAGCTACATAATAAAAGGCATAATGATGAAGGAATGCACACGTGATGAGAGAGACAACCCGACATTCGGCATCGCCACTTTCATTCAACAATAATTGCATCAGGATGCAGAAACTAACGAAATTTTTAGATTTCTTTATTAAAAATGCAAGAAAAATTTTATTTCCCTGGTTACTTCACCCTTGTAATATGAATTGTTGACAAAAAATATAAATAACTAAAAATTTACTGTTAGGATGTTTACGCCGCTTTTTTGAGCAACAACCACCGTATCGTTCGATAACCAGCTGGTTGTATAAAAAGGGAAAAAATATTCTCCAGTAGCTGCAATTTTATTTAGCTGGAGCACTTTTTAACGTTTAATAACGTTTTTGAAAACGGTCATTCACGATCGTATGAGACGTATTTGCTATTATCTTGTAACATCTTTTTGCAATTGTGAATACACCCTTGGTAATAATTTTGAAAATTGTAATAAAGTTTTAAAGAAATTCAAGCGACATGTAGGAACCCGTAAGGAAAATAATGTGAACAAAATTAAAATAATAATGACACGAATGACGCGAGTCAATTTTTTGTGGCTGGAAGAAAACAATAAATTGAATCAATGTTTCATTAAAGATCCTGTGATTATATTTTTAATTACTCTCTTCATTACTACTACTATTAGTACTGCTTCTCTTACTACTACTACTGCTACTTCTACTACTATTACTACTACTACTACTATTACAACTACTACTACTAGTACTACTACTAATACTTCTACTAATACCACTACCATTACTTTTAAAAAATACTTCAAAAGAATACACAGTTTGTTCAACATTGTTGTTTTCATCACCAATTATTTTTTCTCAATAATAAATATGCGTTATCTAAAATTTATTGAAATTTATCATAATTTATTATAATATAATTCCAGAACAAACAACGCTTCCAATGTAACAGCAGACGCACGTAGTTAGCAAGTGGCATCGTGTCATATGGCGTGAAGCGAGCAGCGTAGAGGTGTGAAGAACGAGAGGAGGAATCAATCCCTTAAATCTACTCGTCTGTTCGTGAGGGAACGATTCTATTCATATTCTCTTCCATTTTTTGATCTATCTCACTTTTTTTTATTTCTCTTCTCTCTCTCATCCCATTACTTTTTTTCTGTCTCTCTTTCATTCGTGCTAGTTTTGAAATTGAAAAAATTGTTCAGTAAACTCTAAATATACAAACTTTTTAAAATTTCTAAATTTTTACAAAATTGTTTAATCTTTTTATATTTTATTCTTGTACTTTTATTTCGTTCTCCTACAAAATTTTTCTCTCATCTCATCATCACAATGTTCTTTCAGCACGTTTCAATTTTTACTAATTGTACCAAGCCTATCAAGCAACAATCACATCAAGGAAAAACACACACACACCACACACACACAAAACACACATACACACACACCACACACACACACACCACACACACACACCACAGAGAGAAAGAGAGAGAGAGAAAGAAAGAAATGTATTTCCACAACTGATTAGGACCATCAAGATATTTAAGCTTGCATGGATGCACAAATATTTTAATTACACATTACACTCAGATAGACACATGCACACACACACACACACACACACACACACACACACACACACACACACACACACGCACACACACACACACACACACGCATACATCATACACACACACACACACACGAACAAACTCAGGCACACCTTTTAAGTTGTCAAGACCTGTCCTCTGGTTAGCCTATTCACACATACATTTAGTTTACGTACATAAACACAGTATAGCAAGAAATAAACTTTAACTTTTATAAAATAACATACTGCAATACAATGGTATTGCAGTATCTTGTATTAAATGTTAAAATAATGAAGCTGTAAATTTTTCCATTAATTACTTTAATTTTGGTTAATTTTTAGTGTAGTATGTGTTTTATTTTATTGGATAATTTGAAAAAAATGTTTTTTTTATTTGATATACTTACTGTAAATAAATAAAAAAATAATATTTCAAAATGTAAATAAATAGTACATAATTAAATTTTTTTAACTTTTTTTTTGATAAAAAAAATTATAAACAAAATTTGAGAAAATTTCAATCAGACATAAATATTGAAGGCTGGTAGAAGGACAAACACAATCTCATTAGAAGTCTTCAATTTATACAACGTGAGAAATGCCGCTGACAGACTTGCAGCCAACATCAGCCGACACAACATCACAACTCACCACAGACCAACAACACACAACACGTCACAACAGAACTCCACACACCACAGAACAACACGCCAACAACAAAACACAACACAATACAACACTCCACAAAAAAATATACCAATCACACAACATCCCAACAAAAAAAAACAACTCAATACAGGCCACCAACTAAAAACGGTTGGATGTACGATCAAGATTTACTTACTCCCATTTTAATGATGTGGAATGTAATTTAAGGATTTTCTTCTAATAATCTTCACGTCTGAATCCGCTTGTTACAAACAAATGACATTATATTTACTCATCACAGGCACTCACTCACTCACTCACTCACTCACTCACTCACTCACTCACTCACTCACTCACTCACTCACTCACTCACTCACTCACTCACTCACTCACTCACTCACTCACTCACTCACTCACTCACTCAATCACTCACTCACTCACTCACTCACTCACTCACTCAATCACTCAATCATCTTAAACATTATGCCATGTGCACACAACACACATACACACACACACACAAACACACG